CCATTCGCTCCGACGAAGTGCTAACGCTCGAAACGTCAGCTTTTGTAATCATTACGGTGGCTAATTTACCTTTTCAACTTTGTTGATATATCCAAATTATTTGGCTAGGATACAGTCGGTCACAACTAAACCCGATCTTTCCACCGAAAACTACGATGAATCCTCAACTTGTCACGTAACTGTTCAGCTTATGTCTCAGAGAAACACATAAATATTTTTTATGAGATCTCTATGTGTCTCTCTGAGACCTAAGCTGCTAAAGTTACTGTTCGCTATTATGGATTGTCTCCTCTGATGCAGAGAGAGTCGCTGAAATGAACGAAAGATAAGGGAATATCACGATGCCATTTAGTCAGAAAGGCAGTTAGTTGGTTATTAGTTGTCAGCAGGAGCCCATTACCCGGAGCTTCCATCTCAGTTGTACCCTAGCTTGAGTCAACCCTGTCCCGTATCATATTATTTTTAGAACTGAGATATTTGCGGGGGTTCTTTAATCTTTCCGCGCTTTCCGCCATCATTGAAATAATTTCGTGCGGCCTGCAAGTGAAACAATAGAGACGACAGCTCTCTTATGATTGGCTCTTATAAAAACACCCGCGAAAACCGCCGTGGGAGGTGTTTTTAAAAATAGAAAGATACGGGACAGGGTTGGCTGAGAGGGTCAGTATGGAAGATGGAAGCTCCGGGTAATGGGCTCCTGGTTGTCAGATATGTTTTTCAATTTTTCCTTAGGGTAAAGTAAATAATTTTTATGCCGCAGTGGAAAAAGTTATTTAGCGAATCTTCAATCTGTTTTCTTTTAATGCAATCGTTATTTATCGTGAGGCAAACTTCTGGAAAAAAAGTTCATGGGGTGGTCTTCATGTCCGCCTAATTCAGTTGCCATCCGCCATTTTGTATTTTCAATGTTGCTTTTAATCTTTCTGTTTATTATTCGAACATTGTTTTCGTATTTACGATTTCTTATCACTGTACTACACTTAGTTGTTAGGAAAACTCTTTGACTCGCTGAAATTGCCTGAGGAAAACCTTGATAAACAAAGCAGGCTAGCTCTTTGATAAACGACAGCGCGCTATTATCGAATATACTTTATTTGAGATTGTCTTACTCTTATATATAGGTTGTGTGCTTGCGACTTCAGCGGAGTTTATTTAGATAGAAGCAGACTAACATAAAAGGAAAATAACCGACCCGTGCAGATTTTGTGGCAGCCAATCACGAGATTAAAACATACAAAGGCCTAGGAAAGGCTTCAAGAATGAATTTATGAGAGCTTATTGCATTGACCTCGATATTAGAAGATGAAGACCTCGAAGATGAAGGTGGTGACTATGTACATCCACCATAGTTTTGAATGTCCCCTCTTCCTGGTATTCCTAGGAAGGTCGCAAGGACTCCGCGACATGAAAATGGTTTGGAGCCTCGTGGTCTCTACTAGCAGTAAAAAGAAATATACGTTTGAAGAAGTTGCAGGAAGGCAGATTGGCCGCGTGCAGTAATGAAATAGTTCCTGGATTGCAGCAAAATCAACAGAATTGACGGGTATGTTGTACACACTGTAAATAGAGAGTCCAAGTTCAGGAAATGCCATCATAATTACCAACACAACAACCAATTTGCCTTCGTCTGGAAAATATATCCAATTTTGACGGTCAGTAACACTCTATGTTTAAGAGCCTTATGTTAAAATGAATCAGTACTACTGATGAATCCATTATTTTTTATCTTTTCTAGAATCTTAACTGGAAAGCCAAAAACTAAAAAAGGGACGTCGGTACATCAAAAGTGGCGAAAACAAATGAATATCGAGTGCGATGAACAAGTTGTCAGTGAAGTAGAAAGAAGGCTTTTACTGGTCAAATCAGAAATGGAAGAGGAACGGGTGCACATGGCTGTAGAGGTATGATGAGTGAGTCGTAGTGTGAATTTTCCAACTTTTTACGTGTTGAGAGAAACTTGTATTAAAAGCCACTCTCCCTTTTACAGGGCTTCACACAGGGAAGTGCACTTTGATTTCATCCCCCTTTTCTCCCAAGGGCCAGAACTGTTTATGATTTGCACGATTCACAATTGAAGTAGCAGTATCACGGTAAATAAACTTTCTCTATTTATCTTTTGTACAGATTGTTGAAAGCGGGACAAGCGCTGAAAACCCTTGGAGCTTCGCCGTTGGTTAAGAAAGCAAAATAATAGTAATAAAAGTAACTGGAGTGAAAATAAAGGATAATTACAAACCTCACTACTGTTAAATTCACCCTGTCTACTGTTTATTTCATGTCACTTTTACTGCGAACTTGTCATAGGAACCCGCGCATAGTTATAAAAGGGAAGCCCTGACGAAATAAACTGGTGGAAAATCATTTTGTCTTCCAAAGTTGACAATGATCTGACATTTTGACTTTCTAGTTAAACAGTGTGAGCTACAATCACAAGTTCCAGTCGATGACAATCGCGTAGTAAGCTCAATGTGGTTCGGCCCTCGGACGCCATATTAAATATAAAATCGTTGTCCCAGTGACATGTCACATTAAATTGCATCTGAGCGATCTCTAACTGACTTTATTTTGGTCTGGGTTCTCAAATCTGATAATTATCCCGGAATGATGGGGTTGCGGTTTTGCCCTATCCAAAGTGATAGCTTGTGTGAGTCCAGTGCGTGGTGTTTTCCTCAGAAACCATTAGAGACATGAGAGTGCGTCTCGGCGACTTACGATGCCCGCGAAAACGGGTCTCATACATCAATACGATTATTCAGTATGCTGGAAGAGTTTTCTTCGCCACTTTTTTTTTTAATAAATCGAAGTTTTTCTCGCATGTACCAGATTTTTCAGGGTCAGGTTGAACTATTGTTTGTGGGCTCAAGATATCAATTTACATTGAAAAAAAGTCATTTGCGTCCGTCTTTAGTGAACGAATCCGTTTTTTAAGAATTTATTGACCCTCTCGCTAAGTAACATTTCACAAAAAAACACCAGCAAAGACTGTGAACAATGAACAATGGCAGTAGGGAGTTGTTCATCGGTAGCCGCTCTCGCAATTTTGTTCTTTACTGCTGTCCATTTCTAGATTATTCGCCATGATGGGACTCAATAGTTTTCTAGTCACCTCAGTAGTGCGCAAGATACATGATTTTGAAAATGCCAAGGAACCTGGACAGAACTTCTGGACACCTCTTTCTGGGCTGGCGGCGGAACGCTGTGGCAGCCATTGTTGTCGCCTTCGCCCTCGCGGCAAAGGCTACTTCGCCTCTCGCATTAACCGTTACACGAATTCTACTTCAAGTTTTCAACTTGTAAGACTTGTTCTAAGCGGGTCCATATGCCCAAACCCAGGGCCAGATAAGACATCTGTTTCCACTAAACCTGACAAACGGAATCGTCGCCGTCAGACCGATCCTTTACATAAATAACATCAAGATTGCACATTTGAACATCCGTTCTTTGAAGAACCACAACCACTACATACCTGCTAGAGAGGCTGTACGCGCAAATAACATAGATATTTTCACCGTTAGTGAAACATGGCTTGATAGCACAGTCTCAGATATAGAAGTGGAATTTCGCGGCTTTCATCTTCATCGAATCGACATAAGCACCCAAACCGGTGGAGGTGTTTGTATCTTTACAAAACAAGACTTCAAAGTGGAATGCTTATATCAACTATCTTACATTGCTGCTTCTGGTCTGCATATGTTGTGGGTAAAAATCCAGATCAGAAACTCGAGCCTTTTTTAGTGTACACTGTGTACAAGCCTCCAGACGCACACACCTTAGGCTTTGATACAGTCTTAAGCAAAACTCTCGTTCAAGCACTTTCATTAAACAAGCCAATTTTCATCTTAGGGGACCTGAACTGTAATATGCTGAATGGTAGACCGCTGCACTAGTATCGCAGAAGTCAGTGGTTCGAATCCCGTACAGGCCTGATTTTTTTCAGGTCTGATTTTCGAAGGATCGTGCATCATACGTATGTAATTATAGTTATTGTAATTATTGTAAGAATTGTAATTATTAAAATAGTTTTTAAGCTCTTAGAGACCCCTCCGGGGAGAGTTTTGTAAATTATTGTATTGTATTGTACGTTCCAACCTTTCGCTTCGTATTAGAGCGTTAGATATCTGAAAAGAAAAAGCCAATGAAACGGGGAAACAATGAACTTTGCGCAAACCTCTTCGCTGCGACCCAGGCTTCTCCCTTCTCTTTTCTGGGTGATTAGATAATTATGTTACGACATAGTGACGATGCGATTTGTTTACCGCACGTAACCATATCAACTGCTCAGACTTGAAACATTTGCGATTTCTAGTTAAACGCGTGTATCTTCGAAGGGGAAACATGAGTACCTCGTGGATAAGCTTCCTGTATAAACACATAACAGGAGAAGAAGAAAATGAACGAGCATCCAGCTCATTGGATGTCCTTTCTAAAGCTAATATATGGATTAAAGATCTCCCGACCAATAACTTAGAGCCGCTTGAGGAATCTTTTGGAGCACGCAGAATGAAGATGAAGGTAGGTTTCTACCTTTTGCTCCTTTTCCTTTTGCATTACTTAAAAGTTTTTTAGAGTTAAGAGAACTGATGGAGTGATATTTCAGTCAGTTTTTAAGTTTCAGGACAGTTTCTTTCTGTCACTTGTTTTGCTCAATTTTGAGAAAAATCAAGCGCGCGCAAATGCCCTGCCACTATGACGCAATAATTTCGTTTCCTTTTGCTCAGCGTCATTGAAACAAAACGTTGAGAATTTTTTCTCACCTATTTCAAGTAAACAAAAAAAAAAAAAGGCTAAAATGTTAGTTGGCAATTGTTTTGTTATGAAAGCTGTTCAATTACTTTTCTCTCCCAGTCGTTATCTCTTCATTTTATTGTCAAAAGTCCAAACTGTCTCTCGTTATGCACTGGAATTTAAAAGCCATGCTTCATTATTTTTCATTCCAATTTATACGCAATAGAACAAATTACACTAAATAACAACTGATTTTGCAACGCTCCCCATTATCTAAATCCTGTTAAATTTATGATGTATTATGCGCCCTTGCGGAGTTCTTATGGTCGGTGCGCGTTAAAAAGTCTTAGTTCGATATGTGTTCTTGGCGAGAAAAAAACAAAAAGTGACATCAAGATAAATACTTGGAGCGAGTCTCTTAATAGACAGATATCTGCAAGTTGTGTGGGATATCTGAAGAACTGCTGGATGGCTGCTTATATAATTGTTTTAAGCATTCAGTCCAAAACAAAGTCAAAGTAAATAACTGAATAAAGACTGTATTAAGACTCATTGCAGCAATATACAAAATGGCTGAATTACAGAGCTATTTACAAAACATATAATACTAAAATATAATACAATAAATTCAATAATACTAAAAATCATAATTATACAAGCCACTAGGTGTACTTATTTGTGACAAACTCTTGCGTGACAAACTCTTGCGTGACAAACTCTTGCGTGCGCTTGGTCCTACAAGTAGGACGCGTGGAGCGGGTAATGCCAGATCTAAGATTATAATTATGCACAACCTCTTCCTGTTTGGGGAGCATAAAATGCAACGGGTGAGTCTCATTCCGGAATCTATCAATATAAACCTGGCATAGATGGGCGCGTCTGTCACTTAGAGTTGTTAAATTGAGGATATTTAATGCCTCGGTGTAATTCATCAAAGGAAAAATGAAAAACTTGATTTTCTTGTACAAGGGAAAGAAGGAGATGGAACTGCAATTGGGGAAAAAGATGACAGTCCTCGAACAACAATACCTAGGTAAGATTTCTATTTCTGCCAACTTATATCTAGGCTGTTGGTCAGCAGACCGACGCAAGAGTGGGTGGGGGAAGAAAAGGCTGGAAACGGCCGAGGTTGTCCCTCATATTTCCTAGCGCAACCCTCGCCGGTTTTTTTTTTTTCTTTGCAATCCCCTCATTCTTCCCCCCCCCCCCCTCCCACCATCTCACCTTGCCTTTTCTTGTCTTCACTGACTGGAAACTTATTAAGGATAATTGCTCTTTACAAAGGGAAGATAATCATCCAATATGAAGGCTTTTGCATAATAATTTTTAAAAATCAAACTCTAAGAGGATACTTAAGACAAAAATACGATTATCCACCACTTAGCTAAGTTTTTATAATCACTTTAGACAGAGAGAAAGAACTTATAAAGAAGAACTCTGCTTTGGAAAATGAACTGAGAGAATCACGAGAGAAAATGAACGATCTTCGTATCCAGCAAGAAAAGGACAACGATGCCCTTAAGACTGAAATTAAAGACTTGAAGGAGACTCTGGTTATAAGGGAACAGAGACATAAAAAACAAAAAGAACTTTTGAAAAAAAAGGAAACTAATGCTCAGACTGAACTGAACAAAGCTCGGGCGGTCATTTCAAATCTTTCTGAAGGGATGATGGCCCGTGAAGGTAAGTTTAATGTTTGAAGTTAATTTTTTATTTTTTTTTTTTAGTACAAAACTGAGAACTAAACATGCTAAACGCGCCTATGAATTTGCTATCGTTGCGTCCGATTAAAACGCCCTAAATAACGGGAAATAAGCAAGAAAGGCAGAAAACAAGAAAAAAACAAAAAAAAAAACAAAAAACTACATGACTGAAACTGACGTCAACTACCCGTACTTATTTACGTTCAACAAAATTATTTCATTTCTGGGTCGTAGCCAAGAGATTTGCGCGCTTAAATTCAATTTGTTTTACTTAGAGTTAGTCTCAGCAAAGTGTTGTTTAAAGAAAGTCATTTTTGAAAGCCCATCCTGAATAAAACTATTCAATTTCAAATAAAAAGAACAAAGCGAGCACCTTCACGCTCCTATAACAATCCCTGTCCAGGAAATGAAGCTGTTTTGCATCCATTTTGTGAACGTTGACATTTGGACGATCATTAGAGAATATGCAAAGATGAAGAGGAAGTAAAGGCCTAAAAGAAAGGGTAAAAAAATAACGAACAAATCAAATAAAAATATAGAAATACACTAGGAACCGAATTGTTCTAAATTATCAACTCTTCCCTGCGTGGTCAACTTTGGGAGATTTAACTGCGCTGGAAAAGAAATTAAAAAATGACTGAGTAAACTAAAAAAATCTTCAGCCGACTTCAAAACTTTCTCTGTTACGATTGACCTTCAATAGTCCATTTTTTTTGGCAACACAAAATTAATCAAATATAAGTTTTATAGAAAACCTCGAAGGGTTCGGCCGAAAACAATCTGAGATACTTCCAAAATGAGCTTCGTTGGTATCATCTCTGAGGAACGTAACTCTGTTGCTGACAACATGTAACTAACTAACTGCCTTACTGACTAAATGGTATCCCTTGTTTTTTTATTCATTTCAGCGACTCTCTCTGTATCAAAGGAGACAATCAGTGAGAAAGAAGAAAAAATCAAACAGCTTACGTCTCAGAAAGAGACTTATAAAAATGTTGTAAAAACTATGACCGCTGACATTCGACATTACAACAAGCAACTGCAGAGAGCTACAGATGATGTTGACAAAATCAGAGAAAAACTGGAGTTTTGTCGAGGTATGTGTAACTGACACTTGGCATTCATATCAGGCAAAAAAAATTATCAAAACACGATTTTTTTCCCAAAGGCGGCTAGTTGTTCGTCATCATTGTGTCCATCAAAAAGAAAAAAAAAAACAAGAAAAAAAAATCCACACGAACAAGAAAAGACGTCTAAAAATTATTGAATGAAACTCAGCGAAATAATTGACTATTGTCAAATGGGAGACTAACCAAACTAGCCGCTCGTACAATCTCTCTGATTAGATTTTTTCTTAAAATTTCTTCGGTATTAGGAAATTTTCTTTGCTCGCTCAACATCAAAACAAAATAGAGATGATGTGTGATTAATTTGAGTCAGCGGGAACATTTGAACCAAAATCAACTGAAGTCACACGCACAAGCCACACACACATTGCCTCTGTGACGCAAACATAGTCCTCGCCCGGCCCATTCAAGTCCGTAAATAACGCTATCACTAGTAAAAGTTTCTTTTTTCTACTTGTTGGGATACTTACAAAACTTCAAGTTTAAGTTGTTTGTTTTATTGCCATTTTTCAGCCGATAACTCTCAACTGGTTAGACAAAACAATTTCCTTCAGAACCAGGTCGAAGAATTGAAGGAAAATCTGAAAAAAACAAGTGATGACAATCAGAAACAGATGATTGAGATGGAAACAACGGTGGTGAATGCCGAAACAAAGCTGAAGGAATTGTCAGGTAACAGTTTTTTTTCTCATTATTTTACGACTTGCGGGAGTAATTTGAAATATTTGTTTTATTGCCATTTTTAGCCGAGAAGTCTGAGTTTGTGAGACAAAATAGGCGCCATCAGAACCACGTGAATAGATTGGAAAGCTAAATAGTCCTGCCATCAATCTATCCGGTTATGAAGGCAACCAATCAAAACATTGTCAAGTGGCAGTTTATTTCGCTTTTTTCCACTTGAAAGATTGTTTTCTGTTCTTAAAGTCTTAGTTACTGCCGATAAGTCCGAATTGTCCGAATCTCAGCCGATAAGTCCGAATTGTTAACGAAGAAAACTTGCCTTGAGGACCAAATTGTTGAAATAAAAAAAAAACCGCTTTTTTTTTCATGGCAACAATTTGTACCTCAAGCCGGTGGCTAATGCCGAAGCAAATGTGAATTGTCAGGTGACAATTTATTTCGCTTTTTACCACTTGAAAGAGTGTTTTCTGTTCTTAAAGTTTGATTTATTTGTTTTATTGCCATTTTAGCCAATAAGTCCAGCTTTTTTAACGACGAACAGTTGTTTTTGTTTTTGTTGTTTCATTTGCATGAGCCTGATTTTCAGTTCATAAAGTTTGAATGATTTGTTTTATTTCGCTTTGCAGAAGTTAACTCTAAGTTAGTGAAACAGATCAGTTTCCTTCAGAATGAGGACAAACAGATGCAGTTTGATCTTCACGAAAACAGAAATAGGGAGAGGCTTGAAGAAAAACTTGAAATGATTAACCAATTGAACCGTGATCTGAACAAAACATATACTGAGGCGACCGTAGAAATACTAGGTACGTGAAGCGATCTCATCTGTTTAATTATGAGTAGCATAATCTCATTTATGAGGCATGAAACGCGTCATGTGACCGAATATGTTCCAACATAAAGTGAGGAATATCTATTGGTCTTCCGAAGAGGTGATACCAAATGGTAGAACCTTACGTCCACTGTAATGAAGGTCCTGCTATAAATTTTGATCAAGTTGGAAGGAGTTTTTGCCATCATTAGTGATGAGGGGATGAGCTTGTTTGTTAAATGATTAACAAGAAAGTCACCACAAGGCTTGAAAGTATGCAGGCATATTTGTGCTTTCAGTGATGATATCTGTTCTCCTAAAACTAACAGTTTTCCTCAAAATTTCCTTCTCGGACCGAATGTTCGCCCTATTCTGATACATTTTCGCGCCAAATAGAGGATGCAATTCATATAACTCAGCACAGTTCATAAGCTGGTATACGTAGAACAGAATCCGATGAACATTTTCACTAACGGTTTTAACTATAAGTCAAGAACTCTTATTGAGACAAATATCAAAATTTCCCGTTTTCTAATTGTTATTTCATCAGATAATTTACACGGACTTGACAGCCGAGAATAATTTCAAATTGACATCATTGAGGCTTGCTTTGAAAATTATGATAATCATCAGGGTTAGTGGAATGAAAGCATAAATGAATTGGTAGTCTTCATGGAACTTTAGACTACAAAAGAAGTTTACATTACGTGACGGTTAAGAAATTTTGTATGGATATACTGCGTTCTCAGCCAATGGATTTAGTCGAACAGATCTGAATACTTCAACGACTCTCTAAATGTGTAGAATATTTTAGTGATTAAGATTGAGACTGGATTAGGATTATTGATGTTTAAAGGGAAGTTGCTGCATATGACATCTGTCTAAACGTAAAGAAGGAGTCAGTGTTGGAAATATATCCGAGTTTTAATGTGTTGCACTTTGTTTTTCTAGCTGGTGTCTATGACGACCTACAACTTACACAGCTCGATGTGTCAAGCTGGGCTTATTTTCTCCCAGAACAGAAAAATCCTTTGCTCATAAAGGAGACTAAAGGCGATGAAGCAAACGAAAAGAAGACAGAAAAAGGTGTTTAAAGTTCAACATTTCCTTGCTCTTGTGGTAACTTACACGTCAGTTATTACGTAAGATATCCCTGATGTCTCTTTTTTATTGTGGGAGGGGAGAGGGTGGAAGGGAGGTGATACGAGAACGCTTTCAGTTTTGAATAAACAAACCAGTCAAAATCTTACACTGGGTCATTTCATTTATCATCATTTCAGTCAAAGAGTACAGCGAGCCTCGCCCGTCAATGTTATCATCTGCAACCAGCGATTCAATGAAAGAAACTTTGGTGCCAGACACCTGTCTGAGAAAAAGACATAGGTGTGGTCAAAATAAGGGATTCTCCTGCAAAAGCAAAACAGCTGATCTTTTGACCATGCCTACTGCAGGTAAGAGAAGCAAGATAACACAAAAGAATAAACAAAGAAACAAAGCAAAATACAAAAACGGTTTTAGAAAGAATTCTTACTAATTTTCTTTTGAATCAAACAGAACACACAGTTTAATCTGTGTAAAACAGGTTTCTAAATGAGTCAAAAGTTAATGGGAAAAATGGAAATTGTGGAAATCACAAGGTTCCCCCTAATTGATCTCATTGGCGTCTTTTTCAAACGAAGGTGGCCCCATCAAGCTGCACCAAGCACCCCTTTCTCCCGTGTTTACATCATTATCGACATCTGATGTAGGCAGAGTAAAAAAGGATGACGACTGGCTGGATAGGAACCAAGAAAACTTTGTACCTTTCTCTCAAAAGGGTGAGCGAAATTTCTATAAAAAGCCTATTTTAGTATGTTTTACAGCTTACCATTAGAGTTGGGGCGTGTATCTCGCCCAATGGGGCGAAACTGATGAGTGGCTGTTTTAGTCGAGAGAGGGCTTTTCATGAAGGTTCAACATGTATTTGCAATTTAGATCTTTGAAACTAATGATGCATTTGATGAAAAATAGATTGAATATAAACACGAGTAAGGAATGACTTGAATGGGAGTCATTCAACATGATAATGTACTTATCCACTCAAATATAATATGTCTCTGTCTGAGATTTCTATGATAATCCACAGAATTACAACAGCTGGCAACAACGAATTCTGCCCTTAAACAGCAGGTTAACCAGCTACTAGAAGAGCTAGTCCGTGAAAAGGGCGCTGCGAGGAGAAACTATTTCAAAAGATCAGAATTGATGCACGACCTCAACGTAATAGTTACTAAGAAGCAAGCTGAATGGACGACAGCGATATTAAGTAAGTGAACTGATTTCCTGGCTCAATATGCTTAACATAGCCAGGAGCATATAACATCCTTGTATGACTTTTGTATTTCAATAAAGTTCTAACTCGAGGCGAAAAGGTTTAACGCTCACACCAACTGATGAAGCTTAATCAGTTACGGTTCAACTCTGAAATTTGGGCAACCATCGAGAATTAAACGCTTGTAAGAGGGGGAGGACTTTTTATTCCAATTTCTCCACGTGCGCCCTAAAGAAATTTTGGGAGCAGCAGCAGCATAAATTTTCATCTGAGATGTTTACAATTTTCGGAAACCCTGAAACAGTTGGAGTTGCATCTGCGATTTTTTTATTGCCCTGTTGCCTGTTGCCTGTTGCCATGTTGCCTGAAAGAGTTTAGCACGGAAAGCCGTAAAACTCTTGAACAAAAGCTCATCTTTCAAACCGGCAGTCTAAATCCCACAGGTAT